AGAGCCAGAGGTGGGCCAAATAAGGGAGCCACTGTTAGCAATGAGCCAAAGAAGGGATATCAGTGTTCAAAAGAAACGAAGCCCGTCAAAACTGGGATAAATTATGGGCAGCGACGGATTCGTTTGAAAGAAAAGAGCAAACCCACGAGCGATGCTCTGATTATCGTACCCGCCTGGGTGAAGAAAACCATTCTAAGCACTCACAGCCCTATGTCGGACAGTTGGAGAACTGTTGTTGCAAATACGCCGACAATACGTTTGAGGCTGTCAATGCAAGATGCAGTAGTTAAAGGTCAGTTGCTGGCTCCCTCAGAAGATGGAGCAAGGTACTATTTCATCGTTGAAGACATCGGAACTAGGAACGATAGCATTAAATGGAATGTGAAAGTGACTCCGAAATCACCCTCCTTCAAAGCAAAATGCTTGACTCCCCTCGGGTCTTACACCCAATGGCACCCCAACAAGAAACAACTCGTTCAAAATAAAGCTCAGGTCCCCTGATGTGGCTGTCTGGTATACAAATGCCTGCAGTCTCCGGGGCAAATGGGGAGACTAGGACAGCAAACTCAGATGTCATTGCTGTCACTGAGACTTGGCTCAAGAGTGAAGATATGATCCTGGCTTTGCAGTAGTATACCGAATATAGACAGGATAGAGTAGACGGAAGGCAAGGGGGCGGAGTCCTCTTAGCTGTGCGAAATACCTGTCGCCGATGGGAGTGGCCACTGCAGTTGGCTACTCCCAATATTCAGGTTACTACTTGCCCATAAAGGGTTGAATCGGGACCTATAGGCATTATCTGCGTTCATAGGGCACCCAACTCAACGACTGAGGATAATGAATTGATGCGTACCCTACAAGAGTTGCTGCGAAGGGCCCATAGGTTTCTCATCCTGGGTGATCTAAACCTTCCTGAAATAGCTTGGGAAGAAGAACGAGCTCCTAGCGGAACAACGGGGAGAGCACTACTGGAGTGGATCCATTTGCATGCGCTGGTGCAGCATTTAAGAGAACCAACTCGTTTCCATTTCAGCCAGAGGCCCTCAATCCTTGACTTAGCCATTTCTCGAGCAAGGTCAGATGT